AGTAATTGAACTGCAGTCAGAGAGTGTGTAATTGAGTATTGTCGAGCACGAGCACATGAGACGTTCTAGCGTTTGTTATAGAGCGACTGTTGAAATTAAGTGTATCGGTAACGTTGTATTCGGAAAGAATAAACCAGTTTTATTTAAGAAAGGACTTGTGTCGCTAAAGTTTCGTCGGAACGAATTTACGGAAAATTAAGTGGCGTAACAATATATATAATTATTTGCTATATATATCTCAGACTTATAAGAATCGTTATTTTATTTTTTGTGTTCAAGTGTCATTATATTCTTAGATAAAGACAGTGGTATTTTCGCGGCTTTTATGAGAAGTTATCAAACATAGACTTTATTGAGCTCATTGATCTATATATAGATATATATATAAAGACGAAATGTGTGTTGTTTGTACCCTAACTGCTCTGAGCCTATTGGGCCAATCTCAACCAAAATTTGTATGTAAACACTATGAACTATGAGGAATGTCCTAAGAGGATCAAAATTTAACTTAACCCTATTTCTATTTTGTAAAATCTGTTGGTTAATTACTTCCAGCCTATTGAGTCAGTCTCAAACAACCTTGTCAGGTTGACGCTTTAGACAATCTTGAATATTCTAAAGAGATTCAAGGTCAAAGTATGAAAGTTGCTGGATTGTTTCTCAAACAACCATGCTTTTCTCGTGGTCAGTGAGATATAGGGTGTTCAAGGATCACCTCAAAATCTTTATTTGTTTGTAGCTGGAAAGCAAACTCCAAGTGTTATTTATGAAGAAGCTTTGTTATAATTTTAAAATGTTGAGATAATATTTATGTTAAAGTTATTACTTTGAAATATACGACTGCTGTTAAATTTACATTGTTTTAATTAAGTTTAAACATTCCCCGTCTGTTGACGGGTATTTCAGCTTGTATATAACATGAGTGAGATGTACATTTTCATGTTTGTTGTTTTCAGAATGTTACAGTGAGAAAACAGTTCACAAATAGAATTATATAGTTATTCATAATAACGGTAGTTTTTTGTGTAATAACATAATAGAACCAGACAACAACCAAAAAGTTCTCGAGAAAACGTGCGAGTTATTATTAATACAACCAGTCTTTAATCGGACATCACATCGAGCACAAAAAACTAGACTTTGAAGAGGGAGCTCACAACAGTATATCAAGAACGTCTAATGACATTCAAATATTGGGGTATAACTATATATTATAATAGGACCTTGTGCATTTTAGTGTGTTGAAATTAGTTAAAATTGTATTATATTATTTGTTTACAATTTATTTATTAAGATTTTCATTTTGGGAATAACTGATATCTAATGAGAAGTTAGGGAATATTATACAATGTTAATACTAATAGTAATAGAACTTGGAAGACAATGTGTAACTAACACTAACAGTGTAAGTAATGGCAATCGTACACACTGACCTAAGTTAAACTTAAAATTTATACCTTAATTTTTTTAAAGTTTTAAGTTAAGCCATTTAATTTCATCTTATGCTAAGATTTCTAACTATCAAATCCAGTCTATATGTATCCTAGTGCAGTGGTGGGATTCAGCAGGTTCGCACCGTTTCGTGCGAACCTGTTCTTAGAATTTAATGACCTCCACGAACCGGTTGT